CCTGCCATGGAGATCCTGGGGGGATTCTGGAGCAGTCAGGCCCACATAAGCAGGACACCAAACACCTGGAAGCCCCTCTACACCCACTGCCTACCCCAAATGAGTCTGGGACACTAGAGCACAAGGTCCTTAGCAGGAAGGTGGCATTGACAACATGGCTTTCCAGGGCAGGGGTGGAAAGTCTGAGAACATCTTGTGGGAGCCCCAGAGCACACAGCTCACTGGGACCCACAAGCAGAGGGGGCACTCAGCCCCAAGAGCACCTGGCAACCAGGAGCGCTCTCATCCACTCCAAATGAGCCTGAGATCCCTCTGCTGCAGCTGCTCTGGGAGTGGCCAATGCCAGCGGCTTGCAGCTGATGCCAGTGGCTTGCAGCCGCTGTGCCTCAAACCCCTGGGGCCTCTGCTTCCCCTGGGGCACTGTGCCCCGAACCCCCCAGCACGGCATAGCCCATTTGCTGTAAGCAGGAGGCATCCACCACTCCCAGGGCTGTGGCAGGGGCAGGCAGAGCCTGCAGCGGGACAAAAGCAGGCTGGGGCTGGCAGTGGCATCAGGCTCTTCCTGGCACTTAGAGTCAACCACAGCAATGGGAGGGGAGCTGCTGCCACCGCAAAATTTGCCATAGCCCCCCCCGCAACCTGCCCTCCCAGCACCGCTGCTGAGTGCTGGGAAGAGCCTGGTGCTGTCACCAGCCCCAGCCTGCAGTGGCTGCTGGCCCTAGCCTGCTCTCATCCTGCTGCAGGCCTGGGAGCGGTGGATGCTACCTGCTTGCAGCTGCTGGGCTGCACTGCATCGGGGGTTGGGGGCACAGTGCAGCCCAGCAGCTGCAGGCTGCTGGTGTCAGCCACTCCCAGGCCTGCAGGGGCTGCAGTGAGTGGGGAGAAGCAGAGCAGTGGGGTGAATGGGGAGAAGTGGGGTGAGTGCGGCTGCCACCCACCTGGAGCACCGTGAAGAGCCCGGTGCTGCCCCTGCTGCAGACCCAGGAGCAACAGACACCAGCTGCTTGCAGCCACTGGTCTGCATCGTGCCCCTCTCCCTGTCCCTTCCCTAGCCCCAGCCTCACTCCCTCCCTCCCTCACCACCATGGGAACGTATCCCTATCTGTTTAATTGTAAACTGGGTTCGCTTTATGTGAATACAATTTATGTGCCGTTCCCTGGGAACGCATCTGCCACATAAATCGAGGGAAACCTGTATCTGTCTGCACATTCAGAGACCGGAGGAAAGGTATATGGTACCTGAAAGCTTGTCTAGATCCCTTGTAGCTCTTCAGTTGTTTCAATAATGATATCACTCACAAAAATACTTGCCTTTTGAAGTCTCTTGAGCATCCTAGGGTAGCATATCAATGATAGAACTGAAAACATGGACTTCAGAGCAAGTGAAGAGAGTATAAAATTATAGGGGCTGGTATGGTTCACAGAGTCCTCTGCTTTGGATCATGAAAGCAGTAACAAAGTAATAATAAAAATCATGCTACTGCCCCCTAATTGCCTTTACACTAGTGATCTTAAAACCTGTTAGTAGTGCAGCTGAGTTAGCACCAAGCTCAATAAGGCAGCTAAGCACTCAAATACTTCCCCAGATTCTTGAGTGGTTGTTGTTGCCTGTACTGTTCTGTCTACATTGCTAGCATTATCTAAGCCAGCTAATTTAATGCTATTTCTGGTATATGACACAAGCTACACTCATGGCAGTGCAGAAGTGTAAGCAGACCCTAGATTCTGTGGCTCAGATTTCTAAATGACTCATAAATCTGTTTTACAGCATAGTCACTGCACGGAACAAAGGCCTACATTGGCATAATGGAATTCACAGCTCACTCATTTACCATGCTCCCATCCCCCCTGCTTTTCCTGTGGCAAGTTAAAAGGCTTTTGCAGTTTTGGGTATTATGCCTGGTAGCTGAGCATGAGGGTAGTTCCTGAAGTTTTTAAGAATGGGTCAAACACTTGCCTAGGATGGTTTTTAGACAGGGATGATCCCACCTTGAGCAGGTGAGTGGACTAGAACTAAATGACCTCTGGAGGTGTCTTCCAGCCCTACTTTTCTATGATTCTATCATTTTACATTCCTTTCAGACCTTGTTACTTTAAACTCAGACATGATTAAGTCCAGTCTTTTTCAGAAGAAAGGATATACGAAAAATGTTTCCAAGCATGGTGCTTTAACTACCAGGCCACAGGTTAGGCAGTATGCAGTTGCCCTGCCACGTGCTCCTTTTGAAGCTGAGCCACTGCACACTGCATTCACTAATTGTTCGATAAAATGGATGGAAAATAGCAGGAAAGCCCCTGCCCCACTGGGGGTTTAGCCTGGACTTTTTTTTCCAAGGACCCATCACTTCCAGAGCAGCAGAATTCATTTACTGAGCCACACACCCTCTGGCATGCTCACTTCTTCCTCTCCCCACATACCTCCTTCTTTTGGCTTCCCAGGAAGCCAGCCTCAAAAGGATGGCATTTAACACCTGCTAGTCATGGGTTTTTGTGACATTCATTCACTCAGGTCAGGCAATTATGGAACCACTTACCTTCCCAGCCAGAACACAGCCCACTAAATATGCACAGTAACTGAGTGGATGTTTCTGCATCCACGCTGCATGAGGGTAGGATCACAAACTCTGCATAAGTGCCTGCACAGGCAGTTAAATTTATTAAAAGTGCCATTTGAGCAAGTAAATTGAAATGGGATTTTCACTAGCCTGTTAGCTCTTAAGCGGTAGTAGCACACTCACTAGAATCAAGAGCTGGGCCAGCTGCTGGAGATAGGCATCAGACCACATTTGTGTTGCATGAGTACTATGAGCATAACTCTTCTAGGAGCATTGCTGCCCAAGTTACTTGTTCCTGGCTTAGTGTCTCTCCACATACAGTACCCCTGGTTACTGAGAAAGGGAATCTGTTATTTCTGCTAGGACAAGATATGGCTGTTAGGGTGGACAGCTGGGCTGTATATAGAGGCTCTGGGCAACGAGCATGGAAGGCCCATAAAGTAGAAAACAGGAAAACCACCAAGTTATTTCCCCATGGTGATGAGAACATATGTCAAAGTGAATGTAACTGAGTGGCTGGCTCTTTTTCTAGGTGTCAGAACTGAGGCAGCAGCTCAGAATAAGAGGTCTCCCTGTATCTGGCACGAAAACAGCACTAATGGAGCGTCTGAGACCCTTTCAGGAAAGCAGTGGCAACACAGTGCCAAACTTCAGTGAAATAACAACTGTCACCTTTCCAGTCACCCCAACAAACACCCTGTCAAGCTACCAGTCACAGTCATCAGCCAGCATGTTATCCAATGGCTTCTATCACTTCGGGAGCACCAGCTCTACCCCACCTATCTCCCCAGCATCTTCTGACCTCTCTGTTAGTGGCTCTTTGCCAGACACATTCAACGATGGACCGATGTCTTCTCCACAGTTTGGTCTTCAACCGTCCCCTGTGCATGGCAGTACTGAGGAAAGCCTCATGAGCAGCATGAATGGAGGGAGCATCCAGCTGGAGCTAGAAGGGCTTGATACGGAAAAAGACAAAATGCTGGTAGAAAAGCAGAAAGTCATTAATGAACTTACATGGAAGCTACAACAAGAGCAGAGGCAGGTGGAAGAGCTGCGGATGCAACTCCAGAAACGGAAAAGAACCAGTGGCCTTGAGGAGAAGCATTCCCCACCACAGCATTTCTTTGCAGCTCCCATCAAGCAAGAAAATGCAGTAGCTAGTTGTCCATTTGCATCAAAACAAACTGCCTTGATTGACCAAGCCAGTCATTCAAATAAATTAAGTGACTGTGGGGTGCCGCAGCTGCCTCACATTGTAAATAGTCATTGCATGGAGTCAGCAGGCCAGAGTGCCATCACATCCTCCACATTCCTCAGCCCACAGTGCTCTCCCCAGCACTCTCCACTTGGGCCTGCAAAGAGCCCAAAGCATATCAGCCTGCCACCATCACCAAATAGCCATTCCCTTCTCTCAGTTTCCCCTGGCTCTCAGGGCGAAGGTCGCAGTGTCTCCCCACAAGCCAGCAGTTGCCTCCGCACAGCTCCGGTAAGTGTAGGATGCCCTAACAACCAATCTCATCTCTATAGAAAGGGTATTTGTATTTATGGTTGTCTTAGAGATTGCTTATGCAGATTTCTCTGACCTTGGGATGAGGCTGAGATCAGGCTTTGATATGACTGTTTCTGTCACAAGGGTTACAAAATGCACGTACATTACCCTCCCGATGGTTATGCAATACAATCATGGTAAGGTCCATACTAGATTAAAAGTAGGGGAACAGTCGGAGTACCTGTTATATTTTAGCCCTGCAGCAGTGTGGTTAAGACACTTTACAAGGAAGCAAGAGATTCAGGTTCTAGCCCCACCTTGCTTAGAACAGGTTTGAAGCTATGTTTCTCTGACCTTTCCTCTTCCTAGATTTCCAGATGTCTGGCAGGCAGACTTCTATTATCCTTTGTGTGCCATAGCAATTTTCTAGTTGCATAAGTGCTCCTATTGCATAGCTAGCAATTCTGTTACCCAATATTACCTGTGCAGTGTAAATGCATAAGCACACCCATATACTGAGCATGCTGAGTAGGCTATGCACTGGCCAGATACACCCAGAGCCAGATTCTGTTCTCCCTATTAGGTATATAAGTGGACTTAGGTGTCTGATTGCAGTTCTATTCCACCCTGCTCAAGTTTCTGTGTGATGGGGCCCTGAGTGACTTTTTTGTAACTTGGTCTTATGGGTCAGATAATAGTGTTATAAAAGTAGCTGCATTAATGGATTTTCAGGATGTGAACAGGGTGGAATAAAGTTGCAATTAGGTAACTAAGTCATAGTTTCATAGTAGCTAGGGTCATGAGGGACCTGAACAGATCATCTAGCCTGACCCCCTGCCACAGGCAGGAATGAATGCTGGGTTCACAAGACCCCAGACAGGTGATCATCCAACCTCTTTTTGAATTTGTCCAAGGTAGGGGCAAGGACCACTTCCCTGGGAAGTTGGTTCCAGATTCTGGCCACCCTACATGTAAAATATTGCCTCCTGATCTCTAACCTAAACCTATTCTCCATCAGCTTATTACTATTGTTCCTTGTCACCCCAGGTGGTGCTGGGGAGAAAAGGGCTCTACCTATTTGCTGTTGATCTCCCCTGATGAGTTTGTAGGCAGCCACCAGGTCCCCCCTCAGCCTCCTCTTGCTGAGGCTGAACAGGTT